ACAGTTTTCACATTTCTTTTTTTCTTTTTTTCTTTTTTTTTTCTTTTTTTTTTTTTTTTGAGACAGAGTCTCTGTCACCCAGGCTGGAGTGCAGTGGTGAAATCTAGACTCATTGACTCATTGCAACCTTTGCCTCCTGGGATTTTCCTGACTCAGCATCCCAAGTAGCTAGGACAACAGGTGCATGTCACCACACCTGGCTAATTTTTGTATTTTTAGTAGAGATGGGGTTTTGCCGTGTTGAACAGGGTCGTCTCAAGCTCCTGGCCTCAGGTGATCTGCCCACCTGGGCCTCCCAGAGTTCTGGGATTACAAGTGTGAGCCGCTGAGCCCGGACAGTGTTTCACATTTGTAACATGAAATTTTGGTATATCACTTTGGTATATTTTTGAAATTGGAGTGTATGATACAACCCATGGTGTGTCAAGTTATAATCATAGTTGGCAGTGTTTTTTGCTAAGTGGCACAGAAAATAAAGACACATCCTAAAGGATGCAATCTTAGATGGCATGAAATATGCTGACTCCCTTTGTATTATTCTCCAGACTTTGACTTGTCGTGAACTGCCTCAGCCTAAATTCCAACATGTGAGTTACAGTTTTCCTAGATTTTGTTTTGGGCACTCTGGTCATTTGAACAGACTGGAGATCTTCCAAAGTTCCCTCGGTAGTAAGTTTACAATTCTTTCTGAGGTGGGCTCACTTCTGCAGATAGCTAAGCCCTGCCATTTGCTTGTTTGTTTGTTTATTTATTTATTTGGGATGGGCTATTGCGCTGTTACCCAGGCTAGAATACAGTGGTACAAACACAAATCACTCTAGCCTTGACTTCCCAGGCTCAAGTGATACCCCTGCCACAGCCTCTTGGGTAGCTGGGACTCTGGGTGCTTCGCTAATTAAAACAATTTTTTTTCTTTTCTTTCTTTCTTTCTTTTTTTTTTTTTTTTTGCAGGGATGGGGTCTCCCTACAATGCCCAGGCTAGTCTTGAATTCTGGGCTCAAGCAATCCACTCACCTTGATCTCTGGAAGTGCTGGGATTGCAGACCCAACCCAGCCCTGCCATTTTCTTCACATTCACTACTATTTCTTTCTCTCTTTTTGATTTTTTGTAGAGACAGAGTCTCACTGTTGCGCAAGCTGGCCTAGAACTTCTGCGCTCAAGTGATCTGCCCACCTTGGCCTTCCAAAGGGTTGCGCTTATAGGCATGAGCCCCACTCAGGGCTACTCTCTTTTAAACAGTGATGAGATCATCTAAACTAGCTCCACATAGAGGAAATCTTTTACTCCAGTGCTCACAGACATTTGGCAGCAAGGATCCAAATTCCATATCCACAGTTGCGCGTGCCCAAACCCCCTCCCGGGCTTGTCATCTTGGTTTTCAGCTTTAGTCGGGTGACAAATGCTTATTGATGGACTTTCACAGAGTGGATATGCTCCCTCACAGCAGCAAAATTTAAGACATTAAAATGATCTAATCTCAGAAGTTTTTCCTTAAAGGATTTAGTAGCATAATATTGTCCTTGCTAAGAGCTTTACTATGTCCTTTCCCAAGACTTTATTTAAGAACGTTGGTTATGGATGAAGCATGACATAAAACAAGTTTACATAACAGAGCTTCCACCACATAATCATATATTATAGCTGGTGATAAAAGAAAAATAAGCACTTCACATGTGATGACTCTCTAGAAAGAATTTAAATTACAAACGTAAACTGAAACCTCTTGGCTCTTATTAGACTATAGAACTGATACTATCCAACTGGAATATATAAATTACTATGTTTCGAGTCAGCACTTGACTCTTAATCAAATCCTCATGCTACTTAATCTGAGATATTATCACTTTTAATAACTGGTAGGCGATATTTTTATATAAATATATATTCTATTTATACTTGTGGTATGTCAGAGAGGCACTTTAAATTTTAAAATTGTGCCTGAAGTCCTATTAACAAGTAAAAACAATTTTAGATTATAAAATGTCAAATTTTTTAAACATTGAAAAAAAAAAAAAATATATATATATATATATATATAGAGAGAGAGAGAGAGAGAGAGAGAGAGAAACAGACAGAGTCTCACTCTGTCCCCCAGGCTGGAGTGCAGTGGTGCAATCTCAACTCACTGTAACCTCTTCCTCCTGGGTTTAAGTGATTCTCATGCCTCAGCCTCCCAAGTAGCCTCCCAAATAGCTGCGTGCACTACTACACACAGCTAATTTTTGTATTTTCAATAGAAACATGGTTTCACCATGTTGGCCAGGCTGGTCTTTAACTCCTGACCTCAAGTGATCTGCCTGCCCCAGCCTCCCAAAGTGCTGGGGTTACAGGCATGAGCCACCTCTTCCAGCCAAAACGTTGAAATCTTTAAACAATGTTTTCCCTAGTCGTGATTTAGGAAGAAGGAAAAGTCCTTCAAAAGCGTAGCTGGTATTTCTCTTGCAGTTGCCTCATGCACGTGCTGTGTGTTTTTCTGCTTTATAGATTACTCCCAACTTTTCTTTGAGAAACATTCATTATCCAGTTTTTACTTGTGAGAAAACAGAGGCTCTGAAATGTTAAGTTACTTGTCCAACATTTTAAACTAAGTTTCAAAGCCTATATATATTTAATGTTTACTGCAGAGTTCATGAGCTTTTCACTAAAAACCATCAATGAATGTAGCATGTGATGAAAGAGACCTGGATTTAATATGACAAATGCTTTGACCGTGCCAGCTCCAGTTACTATAGGTGAGAATGTGATCTGAAATAAATAATTTTATAAGCCAGGACACCTGTGAGATAAAATATAGGTAACTGACAAGAAGAGAAGTATTATGTAGTTAAGTTTCAAAAACAATCATCATCATAGCTTGGTCTCTTAGACACTGAAATCTGAAACTCCTTGATTTACTACAGGAAGGTTTCAAACAAAGATGTTTTGTTCAATGCATGTTTTTGTGGGATGGTGTAACTATGCAGGCCATATCAGTCAACAAACACTGTACAGAGCTGACCAATGACTCATGAAATCTTCTGTGCGATCGCTCTCCTCAGTTTCAAACTATTCATTTATAACTGCACTAGCAAAATAGCCAACAGCTTGTCATATTCTTTACACTGTCTTGGCCCAGCTCTAAACAGATAGGATTTTAAATTTTAACTTGGAATTTTAATCTTTATTTTAAAACATGTATATGCATTGTGGTAAAATATCACTTAGGAAAAAAAATTATTGTAGATATGTAAATTTCTTCCTTTTAAAATGCCTTTTGATTATATAATTAAAATTCCCCAAATAAACCAGGAGTTAGATTTTCAAGTTAAAAACCTCCATAGAGTAAAAGTAACTCTTTTTTTCTTCTCTCTTCACCTCCCTCCCAAAAAACAAGTCTTCACAGAAGATGATTTTGGCATTGGTTATCTTTGTCTTTAAACATTAAGAGTAGTAATCATACTAAGAAAACAGTTTTCTTTTCCTATTTTGAGCTTCTAATATCCAACTAACTTCTTTTTCGCTTATTGTTTTAAGAGAGAGAATAGGCCGGGCACGGTGGCTCACACCTGTAATCCTAGCACTTTGGGAGGCCAAGGTGGGCAGATTGCCTGAGCTCAGGAGTTGGAGACCAGCCTGGGCAACACAGTAAAGCTCCGTCTACACTAAAAATAGATTTTAAAAATTAGCCAGGCTGGCAGTGGGTGCCTTTAGTTCCAACTACTCCAGAGGCTGAGGCAGGAGAATTACTTGAACCTGGAAGGCAGAGGTTGCAATGAGCCGAGATCCCAAGATGGCGCCACTGGGCGACAGAGCGAGACTATCTCCAAAAAAAAAGAAAGAGAAGAAAAAATTTATTTTTCTATAAATAATATATTGAAATGCAGATGTAGTATAGACAGTTCTAAACCAATGACATTTTTAAAAGAAATTTAGCCAGTGTTTACAGAAAAACAATGGCAATGACACAGTGATATTAGAAAAGGTGTCCCCTGTCGGTTGACAATGGGTTATACGTAATTTAAAACAAAAGATGACAACCGTTTCACTCTGAAGTTCTCTTACTACTGTAAAAACTCAGTAAAATTGGATTCCACACTAGACGGTAGAGTTTAAGACCTAATGGCTTATATTCTGACCTCATTCAATAGGAATCTGTTTAATCTCTGCCAGGAAATTCTTTGTCCAGGAGCGCCTATGTTCGTGGCAGGTGGGGCAGTTTATTAGCCCCCCTGCTCTCCTCTTACGACGGCCTTGCTCCGGGATCACTGGGCTCACTCTGTCACGAGCATAGTTATTAGATGGGTTCACTGTTTTTCCTCCTCCCTGCGGGGACCTGTGGCACAGGCTGGGAGGCCGTGAAAGCCAAGGCCACCGGGCTGCGGGTCTGAGGCGCGCATGGAAGTGGGAAACTTCGGGATCCAAGCTCGGCAAATGCGCAGGTCCACGAGGGAGGCTGAGCTCAGGGCCTGGGGAGAGGAGGAAGCCAGCAGGGTCCGGGACGTGGCGGGAGGCCGAAGGGTTATTTGCAGGGGTGCAGGCTTCCTTTGGGACATCACAGCGGCCTCCGGGCTGTGGGCGCCTCGTGGGGAAGCCTTGAGGCAGACAGGACAGTGGGAGCGAGGCGAGGTGGCTCCGGAGCGCGCCCCTCCCCCTCGCCACTCCCCAACCCCTCCTCCTGCTCGTGCTCCCTCCCCATCTCTTCCTCCATCCCCCACTCCTTCCCCCTCTTCCTTCCCTCCACACCTCCCCACTTTCCTGTCCCTCTCCCCTTCGCCTCCCTCTCTCTCTCCCCGCATCCCCCACCCTGCCCTCTTCCCAACCTCCTCCCTATCCCCTCCTCCCCGTCTCCTTCTTCCCTTCCCCTCCATCCTCCTCCCCACCCTCCTCCACCCACCCTCGTTGCTCGGGCCCGGCCCACGGATTCCCCTGTTTCGCTGGTTCCCTGGGAGTCTCCATAGCAACCGACGGTGGGTTCTTGGACTCCGACTCAGCCCAGGGCGTGGCTCTGCGGGGGGCAGCGATGGCAAGCTGGGGCGACACACCTGAGACCCAGGAGTTCCAGAAGATCATCCAGGGCCTCGAGGCCTCTATTGAACAATTCCAGTTCAACCCCAGGTGACCCAGAGGAGAGGCAGCCCCCGCCGGTCCGCCCCGAGCCCTCGCACCCCAGCCCTAGCTCCTTGCGTTTCCCGGCCCCTGGCTCCAGCCTCTGGGCTTCAGTTTTTTTTTGTTTGTTTTTTGAGGGAACCACTGTCCGAAAAGAGCTGCAGTTTTCACTTCTTCAGTGTATAGCTGGACACTAAGAGCACGGACTCTGGAGCCAGACTGCCTGGGTTCCAAATCTTGGCCAACCTCTCACAAGGGGCTGTGAGTTAGGCTACTGACCTCTCTGTGCCTCACTTTCCTCAACAGGAAATCATTTAGTGCCTGTTTCATAGATCCTAGTGAATATTAAATGAGCTAATCTAGGGCACAGTACCCATCTTAGTCCCCTTGGGCTGCTGTAACAAAACAGCATAGGCTGGGTGGCTTATGAGCAACAGGTATTTGTTTCTCCCGGTTCTGGAGGCTGGGAGGCCCCCTGCAGATTCCGAGTCTGATGAGGGTCCCTTCTGCACATACAGTACCTCCTAGCTGTGTCATCACATGGCGGAAGGGGCAAGGGAGTTTTCCACTATCCCCCACACCTGCTCCCACCCTGCTTTTAGAAGGGCACTCATCCCACTTACAGGGCTCCACTTTCGCGACCTAATCACCTCCAGAGTCCACAACTACTAATACCGTCATCTTGGGGGTTAGGATTTCAACCTGAATTTTCAGGAGACACAAACGCACAGACCACGGCAGAATCATGGAAGTGTCTGCTGAAGTCGTTATTTGCTGTTCCTTGGTCCTTGTTTATAGCCCTTCCCTTTCATAATCCTTTGCCCCCTGTGTTCTAGTTTTGTTGTTTATTTGGATAATGTAGCGCTGATGTTTCTGGGAAAATCAAATTTCTTTCTAAAAACCTTTTCAAATCAACAGGTAGTCAGCACTAGCTTAGTTGCTATGGGAGAACTTGTTTAAGGCAGGGGTGTCATGGTGCCAGATGGGCTGGCATAGGGGCAAGCCCCTCACACAGATGCAGCTCCAGGGTGAGAAGAAAGGACCACAGGTGTCCTAGCCTAGCAGTGGGACTGACCCAGTGAGGCAGTGCTCTTGGGCTCGGCTTCCCCAGTTTCACTGTATTCAATGGGTACGTTTGTTAAAATGGGTCAGTCTAGTGGTGATTGTGAATAGCACCTATTAGAGGCAGCACGTGGTAAACACCAGAGGCACACAGTGTCTACCCTGGTCTAGTGTTTGCTGATAGGAATGGTATCCTGCCCTGGACTCCTTAGCATTCCATGGTGGGGTAGCTCCCCAAAAATATGCACCTGCTGGGCTCAAGGGCAGACTGATCGTGCCAGGTGCTCATTGACTGAACAAAAGAACCACTGATCCTATTCGTTCCTCTTCACCCAGAGTGCTAGGGTGACTGAGCCGGTGACTGAGTGTGAATGAGAGAGGCCCAGGTGTTGACCGAAATCCTGGGATCTGAGGCCTGAACATGCCAGGATAATGCACGGAGGAGCAGTGGTCTACAAAGCAGATGAAAGCCCCGCCTCTGTGGAGTTTGCATCCTAGTCAGGAACCAATGATGAACTAGATAAACAAGTCAACTATATAATTAGTTAGATAGTGGTTAGTGATAAGGAAGAAATCTAGCATAGGGAGAGAGAAGAGGGGTATGGTGTGTGTGGGGAGGACCAGGTAGGGAGGGAGTTGTGATTTAATTTAATTTTTTAATTTTTATTTTTAGAGTCAGGGTCTCACACTGTCACCCAGGCTAGAGTGTAGTGGAACAATCATTGCTCAGTGCAGCTTTGAACTCCTGGAGTCAAGCAGTTCCTCCACCTCAGCCTTCTGAGTAGCTGAAACAACAGGCACATGCCAGCATGACTGGCTGTTTTTGTTTTTTGTTTTTGTTTGTTTGTTTGTTTGTTTGTTTTAATACCTGTTCTTCCTGTGTTACCCAGGCTGGTCTCAAACTCCTGGGCTCAAGCAGTCCTCCAGCCTCGGCCTCCCAAAGTGCTGGGTTTACAAGAATGAGCCACCACAACAGGCCTGGACTGCAGATTTTAGATACGGTGTCAGGAAAGCCTTCACTGAGAAAATGACATTGGGGTGAAGACTTGAAGGCTTGACGTGGGAGCTCTAAGGATCTATCAGGGTACCAGGTATTCTAGGCAGAGAGAACACTGGGTAGAAAGATGGTACCTGGATGTCCTAGGAGCAGCAAGGAGGCCAGCATGGCTGGAGCAGAGAGAGGGAGAGTAGTGGAGATGAAGTCAGAGGGAAGGGGGTCGGTTCCTGGAGTGAGGGGCTTTAGACCACCATAAGGACTTCAGCTTTTTCTTTGAAATGGGAAGTCATGAAGGGATTGGTATAGAGGAGTGACAGGATTTGATTTATCCTTCAACGGGATAACTCTGCTGCTTTGATCATAGACTAAAATGAGGACAAGGGCAGAAGCGAGGAAACAGGAGACTATTAGGATATTCCTCATGGAAGATGACTGTGGAGCAGCAGTGGTTGGGGGTGCAGAGAGACCTTGATGAACAGGTAGAATGGAATTGCCATTAACGCAGATGGGGAAGATAATGAGATGAACAGGTCTGAAGGGAATGTCATAAGCTTACTTTTGGTCATGCTATGTCAGCAGTGACTGTTAGGCATCCATTTAGGCTGTTAAGTAGGTAGTTGATTATATGAGTCTGAAGTTGAGAGGTTCAGCTTGGCTATATCAGTTTGCAAATAATTAGCACAAAGATGGTGTCTTAAGCTGAGAGTCTTGATGACATCAGGCAGGAAGTGAGTGTAGTTAGAGAAGTTTATGAGCCATGAAGCATATCAAAGTTTTGTGTTCGTTGAAGAGGAATAAAAGGAAGCAATATTCTTACTTAGCACTGAGAAGTATGCCACAGTGAAAATTTAGCGCACCTAATGCTATCTTCATTGACTGATTTATTATAAGCATTGGTAGGATGGACAATTCTAGGATTCAGTGAGAAGAGTCATTGCATTTTATTAACACATTTTCGTAGGTCTGTTTTCCAAAATAAATCAGGACGTTAATTTTGTATCTAATTTATTTTAAAAAGCATAATTATATTCCCAAAACTCTGTTTTATGCATAACAACCAACTTATTATTCAGAAATAGAATTGCTGAGACTATAAATGAAGACCGTGTAGGAACCACTTAGCTAATTTGTTGTGATGTGGATTTCCATTCTAAGCATCGGGGTTGTTAGCTAAAATTAGAGACATTTGGAATGTGAAGGGACACCAAATCATACATCTTCCTCTTTCACTTAGATTCTGAATGAGCTGGATCTTTTTGAATCAGTCACATAAAAAGTTAGAACTGGTGAAACTGTAGAGTCATGGGCTTATCCTCATCAGGAATTTAGAAGAAGAATCTGCCACTTCCGGCTTATGATTTTAGATGAGTTATTTACTTTCATTGAACCTCAGTTTCCACATCTTCAAAAAAAAAATAGCATCTCTCTTCTAAGATCATTGGAAGGATTGTGGGATGGGAGAATTCAGGTTTAATATATGTATCTTGAGTTCATGGAACAAGTTAGGCACTCAATAGCTGTGTACTAATAATATTCTTAGACACTCTGGAGGAGGTATCTATAAAATTATTGGATCTGATTTTATTTACTGATTTATTTTTGTTTATATATTTATTTTGAAACGGAGTCTCACTGTCACCCAGGCTGAAGTGCAATGGTGCTATCTCAGCTCACTGCAACCTCCATCTCCTCAGTTGGAGCAATTCTCCTAATGAGTAGCTGGAATTACAGGTGCAGGCCACATGCCCAGTTAATTTTTTGTTTGTTTGTTTGTTGTTTTTTTTTTGTATTTTTAGTAGAAACAGGATTTCATTGTGTTAGCCAGGATGGTCCTGATCTTCTGACCTCCTGATCTGCCCACGTCAGCCTCCCAAAGTGCTGGGATTACAGACATGAGCCATTGTGCCTGGCCTTATTTTATTATTTATTATTTTTTTAAGACAGAGTCTCCCCCTCTTTTGCTTAGACTGGAGTGCAGTGGCACATTCACAGCTCACTGCAACCTCTAACTCCTAGGCTCAAGGGGTCCTCACTTCAGCCTCTTAACTAGCTGGGGTCACAGGTGTGTGTTACTATGCCCAGCTAATAATATGTATTTTGTATTTTTGTAGAGACAGGGTTTCACCATACTGCCCAGGCTGGTCTCAAACTCCTACGCTCAAGCAGTCTGCCTGCCCCAGCTTCCCAAAGTGCTGGTGTTAGCCACCGTACCCAGCCTGGACCTGATTTTAAAATATCATATAGTAGTATTGTAATGTTATGGCACCAGAAGGAATAACTTATCATTTCAATTTCTAAATCATATCTTGAAAAAAATGTGTATTGATAAAAACTATTCACACTCCATAAGCCTACCACCCACCATAAGTCTTTTGCTTAAAATGAGAAGGAGCAAAAGAACATACGTGTTCATGCTTAATGAAAAACGTGGCTGAATAGTAAAAAGGAGCTGCTTAGCACTGAATAGGGTAAAGGATTGCATTTCTATCCTGGAAAGATGAATACTGAGGCCTGTTAAATGTGCAGCAGTGTGGACTATACAGAAACAGTTAGTTCCTGTGTCTATTTATATTTACGATATTGATGTGGCACTCAGCGTGCAGACAGAAGGCAGAAACTTCAACAGTAATTTGAACAGGGACTATTTTCTGTTCTTTATTAAATATTAAGAAGGAGTTTTAACTAGAAAGAGGCAGTAAGATGGTGAAAGAAGACTCTAAGCAACACAGTGATAGCAAACGCGAAAATCAGCTATGACCTCCAGATCTGAGGAAGAGGAACCAGGGCAGAAACAAAGGAGTTAGAAGACCCACCCTCAAAGGTTGTGATTCCGAGACCTCTTCGGAGACGGCGTGTTCACAATTTATTCTCTGTAGGTTTATTGCCGAGTTAAAAACAAGGAAACTGAGGCCAGCACAAGAAAATTAGATGCTAATTTATTCAGCTCCCGGGCGAGGTTCTGTGGACCCGGAGAGAGGGGCCAGGGAAGCCGCACCTGCGTCCTCGCAGGAGTGGGGGGTTTTATAGGGAGTGAAGGCGTTGGATTGGACTTGGAGAAACAGGATGTGGCCCGGGTGAGCTGCTATTGGTAGGTAGGTGGGACTTCCGGTGAGCGAGCTAGGTGCCGAGTGCAGAGGGGATTGCCAAGGCAGAGCTAGATGATGGGCACATTCTGTTAACATAATTTTCAAGTGGGGAGGGAGATGGGTGTGTTCGAACTCCCCGTGAGGCAACCAGCCTTACAGTGTGGTGGCAGAGAAACTTGCCAGAGGGTGTGACAACTGCTGGTCTGCAGGGATGGCGTGCCCAGTGGCTGAGAAACTTGCTGAAAGGTACCGACAGGTCAAATTTCTTTACCTGGTTGCGAGATCTAAATCTTCATTTTTGGAAGTCCTGAGTTCCTGAAAGTTCTGCTCTCTTTTTTGGGGGGCAGGGGGGTGTTGCCTTTTTTCCATTAATCTTTACTACTGAGCACAGAAACCCTAAGAGGCACCCCAAGGAATCCTCTGGGTTCCTAATAGAGTTCTCCTTGACTCTCTTGTGCACCAGCAACCCAATTGCCCCTTGGTATTTAGAATCGATCACTTCAGCCAGCAGAGTGACCTCCTTTTCTGCCTTTGTTTCAGCACCGTAAGGATCACAAAGTGACTGGTCATCAGTGTCATCTAATTCAATAGCATTTCTGTCACGTTTTCTGGTGGAAACATTCTTCCCTTGGGAACTAAGATTTCCAAATAAGCAGATCCTAACGTTGCAGAAACAGGAAGCTGTAATTTTGGTATAAGAATGAGAGGCACCTCTTGATTCTTGCATATGGCTGTAGGAGAGATAGCACCATATACTGTTTCAAAGCATATGCTGCATCCTGTGACACAGAACCACATTCTTTCATGGATTTGCTGCTTCTGAATGTTGCTGGCTGTTCAGGTGTGTGCCACCATGCCCAGATAATTTTGTTATTGTTTTTTTGTAGAGACAGGGTCTCACTATGTTGCCCAGGCTTAAACTTCTGGGCTCAAGTGCTCTTTCCCCCTCAGCCTCCCAAAGTGCTGGGACAAGAACCACTATACCTGGCCTTGAATGAATCTTCTGTAAGTTATTTGACCTTTCTATTAGGCCAGCCACTTCTGGGTGATGGGTTATATGATAAGATCACTGAATTCCATGAGCATGAGTCCATTGTTGCCTGTCTTTTGCTGTGAAATGAAGTCTTTGATGGGAGCTGATGCTGTGAGAATACCATGAACTTACAGAACATAAGGCGTTCTGAAAGTTCATGCCTGGTGGTTCTGGCTGGTACAGTCGAGTCAGGGAATGCAAATCCACATCCAAAATAAATGTGTATTCCAGTGAGGATGCTGAACGAGGTTCAGTGCTATGAACCTGTCGCTAGGTGGCTGGCTGTTTCCCCCTGGTTCATGCTGCCATATTGAGACCTCAGCCTTGATCTTTGCTGTTGACTAGTTAGGCACTGAGCACCTATGGTATCCAGGCCAGCCTTGGTAAGGGGAAAACCACATTGTTTAACTTGATCCCTGACACCATGGCCGTTTTGTTCAAGGGCCATGAAGAAAACAGGGGTTGGCTGCAAAAGGAAACTGATCAATATCCACAGACTGTGTCATTGCCTAATTCTTTAACTGCTTTCTCTGCAGTGGATTCCCTTGGATGAGCATTCAGATGCCGCGCAAACACCTTTACAGTCTGTGCCCATTTTCAAAGGCTCATCCACAGAACTCTTCCCAGACACTCTTGACACCCATCTGTCAATCTGTTCCTTCCAAGTTCCTGAACATCCTGCTAACTCTTTAGCAGCTGCCCAACTAAGAGAGGCCATTTAATGTGAATTAAATATATAAAAAACTATCATATAAAAAAGCTTGGTTTTTTCCAAATACAATGAAAAAACTGTGACATTTCAGAACACAGTAGTGACAGTAGAAACCACCACTGCAGCACCAATAATGGGTAACATTTCTTGAGGACTTACTGTGTATCAAGAATCATTCAAAGTACTTCTAAGTATTAACACACTAAATCAGGTGTCCCCAAACTACGGCCCACAGGCCGCATGCGGCCCCCTGAGGCCATTTATCCGACCCCCCGCCGCACTTCAGGAAGGGGCACCTCTTTCACTGGTGGTCAATGAGAGGAGCACAGTATGTGGCGGCCCTCCAACGGTCTGAGGGACAGTGAACTGGCCCCCTGTGTAAAAAGTTTGGGGACGCCTGTACTAAATTCTCACAGCAACTCTGAAATGGAGACTATTATTTTCTTTAAGAGGAAACTAAGACACAGAAAGGTTTAGCAATTTATCTCATGTCACATAGAAAGAGTATCAGTGAGGATGTTTTCGGCTACAGTTGACAGAAAGTGCCAACAATTGGTGCACTTATTCTGTGACATTACTGGAAGATTGGAGGTATGACAGGTTTCAGAACTTGTTGAGTCAATGGCTGAGCGAAGTCATCAGTCAAATTTATTTCCATCTTTGTTTTTCAGACAAAGTCTTGCTCTGTCACCAAGGCTGGAGTGCAGTGGTGTGATCTCAGCTCACTGCAGCCTCTGCCCCTCAGGTTCAAGCAATTCTCGTGCCTCAGCCACCCGACTAGCTGGGATTATAGGGATGTGTCACCACAGCCAGCTAATTTTTGTATTTTTAATCAACACGGGGTTTCACCCTATTGGCCAGGCTGATCTCAAACTTCTGACTTCAAGTGCTCTTCCTGCCTCGGCCTCGCAAAGTGCTGGGATTATAGGCATGAGTCACCATGGCCAACCTATTTCTCTCTTTTTTGACATCTGTGCCCTGGCTGGCCCCTCTTGTGGTCACCGAGTGATTGTGCTAGTACTTGGCATCACTTCCACTCTTGGCAAAGTCCAGAGTCACGGAAGAAAGCTCTCCTCTGGCACCCCCTTTATAGGAGTGTAGAAAGCTTTCTTACTAGCTCCCAACAGATCCTTCCTAAAGTCTCCCTCTTCAGACCTGAGTTCTACACCCATCCCTGGACATCGACTGCCAAGGAGAGTGGGATAACTCTGACGGGCTTAGCCCAGCTTGGAGTTACACTTGGCACTGGGGATATGGTCAACTGCATCTGAGTTCTGTGGGGGACAGATCGGAGGTTCAGCCTGCATACAAGAAGAGGGGAGTTGCCATGGGCTGCCCTGCATTGAGGTCTGCTCTTGGCAGAAGAGGCAGGATAGAAGCAGACATTCTGCCTTTTGCACCTACGCTGAAAAGTCTGATAATTCTACTTGGGCTTTTGTGGTTCTCTTACTTAGCTGACATTTTAGAAACAGTTGTGGTAAGTTTAATCAGATTGACAGAGTGCATCAGAAAATTGCCTTTTTAATGCTGTTTGAGATGCCCGTCATTAGAAATCTGTATTAGTTGACAAACACTTGCTCCTGGCCTATTCAGATTTTTTAGGAATAGCGTTTGAAAATCAAATATAGGAGGGTGGTGTGATCATCTTAAAGAAGCAATTCTCAAACATTTTGATTTCAAGACCTCTCTATATTCTGAAAAATTATCAGCGCCCTCAGAGAGCTTTAGTTTATGTTGGTCTTATCTATTGATAGTTGCCAGATTGGAAATTTAAAAGGAGAAAATTAAAATATATTTAAATTGATTGATTTAAAATAAGGAGAAACCAGGTGTGTGTTGATATAAATACCATGTTTCATTTATTTTGGTTTTTTTCTGAGACAGGTTCTTTCTCTGTTGCCTAGGCTGGAGTGTGGTGGTACATTGACAGCTCACTGCAGCCTCACCCTTCTGGGCTCAAACAATCCTCCTGCCTCAGCCTCTAGAGTAGCTGGAAATAGACTATTTTAAAGAAAAACTAACTGTGTTGTTTTAAAACAAAACTTTTCATGGGAAGAGTGTCACTGTGTTACATTTTTGCAAAGCTTTTCCATGCCTGGCTAAATGGAAGAGAGCTCAATTCTCATAGCTGCTTCTGTGTAATCTGTAGCCTCTGGAAAACTCCACCGAACATTTGTGAGCAAATGATAGTGAAAAAGACAAATAAAATATTAATATTATTATAAAATTAGTTTGATCTCATTGATGTTCTAAAAGAATATCCCAGAACCCCAGGGGTCCTCAAACCATACTTTGAGAACCACTGTCTTAAAGGGTTTCTGCTGAATAGGCCCATAAATAATCCAGAATTATTTCCAGCAGTAGCACAGGCAATAACAGTACAGAAGATATTAAAAGCAGGTATATAAATCGATCATATCTTAGAAATGTGGAAATCAGATGAGTATCAGTAGAGCAATATGCCCCAGTCCAGGGAATTGGATAATCTCATTATCCTCCTTACCTCCAGAGCTAATTCAGAGTTTTCCTCACCTCACTAACCTCTTAGAATGCTTAAATACGATATGATTTACGCCAAAAAAAAGTACACACTAACATCTATTTCTGAGAAAATAACCTATGACATAAAGCACATTTAATTTCTTTTGTTTTCAGACTTAATATTTCAGATGATTTAAAGGTTGGCTTTTTCAACACAGACCATGCTACTCAAACCGATTCCAGTGAAATATTGTCAATAAAAGAGTTGAGTTCATCTACACAAAAGTTAGAGCAGGTAAATCTGAATTTAATTTGAAACTTCTGAGATAATTTTTGGCATTAGTTGCCTTCATGTTTCTTTCACAGACAGAAGGAAATTAAGATTTTTTAAATATTAGCATCCTTGAGCAACAGCTGTGCTTTAAAAATTATTAATATAGGCTACTAATATTTATGTCATGCTTACATATGTTAATTTGTTTAGTAAAGTATTTGATACTCTGGAATTCTTTTGAAATCTGTGAACATTTTCTATTTATGATACTTTAAACAATTATCAAACATTTTTACATATAGATAAATGTAGAGAATAATATAATGAATAACTGTTTAACCTGTCATCCAACTTTGTCAAATGTTAACATTTTGTTATATTTTGATTTTTTTTTTTTTTTTTTTTTTTTTTTTTTTTTTTTGAGACAGTGTCTTACTCTATCACCTAGGCTGGAGTGCAGAGGTGTGGTCATAGCTCACTGCAGCTTCCACCTCCAGGGCTCAGGTGATCCTCCCACTTCAGCCTCACAAGTATCTGGGACTACAGATGCACCCAGCTAATTGTTTTGTATTTTTTGTAGAGATGGGATTTTGCCATGTTTTTCAGGGTGGTCTTGACCTCCTGGGCTCAAGCAATCTACCCACCTCAGCTTCCCAAAGTACTAGGATCACAAGCATGAGCCGTCTTGCCTGGCTGGATCTTTTTTTATTGTAAAGAAATATAGTATTGCATGTACATTGGAGATCAAGAGTTATTATTAAAAATCCTAATCAGTAAAGCTGTCACATGAGGTAGCATCCCACTATAAATACACTTGTCTACCTTGATTTTGTTTTGACATTTGGAAGGTGTTCCATATTGACACATAAAAGAGCTTTCTGATTTATTTCATAAGTACATTACATCACAAAATATACATCATATATTTAGCTTTCCATATTGATGGACATTTTGGTCATTTCTAATATTTTACTGTGATGAATAATCCTGCACAGCACATACTCATATGCCAGTAAATCTGTGATGTAAATTCTTAAAAGTGGAATTTCTGAGTCAGAGGATGTATGCATTAGTCGTTTTGAAGGATATTGCCAAATTGCCCTGCATAGGGATTGTACCAATTTACACTCCCACTAGTAACTTTTGAGAATGTCTCTTTCCTACATATTTGCCAATTTATTGTCTCCTTTTATACTTTCAGAAGCATTTTATAATTTTATTATTTTGTAACTGTGTCCAAATGACCACGTTCTGGTCGGATGGAAAAGGTCTGTGGCAACTCTGGGAAACCTTCTTTGAGACAGTTCACATGCACCCTCTGTCACTTCTCCCTTCACTCCTCCTTCCCTCCCTGCTCCTTCCCTCTCTAATTCCCTCTCCTTCCTTCCTTCCTTCCCTCTCTCCTCCCTCCGTCCCTCCCTCCCTCCCTCCCTCCCTCCTTCCTTCCTTCCTTCCTTCCTTCCTTCCTTCCTTCCTGGTTTCCTGGTTTCCTGGTTTCCTTCCTTTCCTTACTTCTTTGGCTTCTACCATTTGGACCATGAAGTTGAAATAGTTTTCAAAAGAGTTGTAAGATGGAAGAATCTTAGATAATTTTATTCATTGATTGCCTAGGTAGCTTTCTAGGGAGATAAATTAACTTATTTCTCATTTATGCTTCTGTTATTTAGATTTTTTTTTTTTTTTTTTTTTTTTTTTTTTTTTTTTTTTTTTTGAGAAAAGGTCTCACTCTGTCACCTAGGCTGGAGGGTAGTGATGGTATCATTGGTGACAACAGCCTCGACTTCCTGGGCTTGAGTGATCCTCCCACCTCAGCCTACTTAGTAACTGGGACTACAGGTGTATACCACCACAGCTGGCTAATTTTCTTTTTCTATTATTTTGTAGAGACAGGGTCTTAATATGTTGCCCAAGCTGGTCCCAAACCCCTGGCCTCGAGTGATCCTGCTGCCTTGGCCTCCCAAAGTATTGGAAATACGGGCTATTCCCAACCACACCTGGCTATTTGGATTTTTTGTTATAGTTGAACCAAAATCTGATTCAAATGTTAAATCAGATTAAGGATGTCATCTATTTCTAATTAATAAAGGCTTTTTAAAAATTATGAAATGACTGGCCTTAAGTACTTTTCATGGACTTATTGAAATGATCATGCAGTCATATGGCTTTTCTCCATTATCTGATGATGTGGTAAAATTTGGTTTTTGAGTAGTAAACCGTCCTTGACTTCCTGAAATAAACCCAGCTGGATCATAATATTTCTTTTTGCATTTCTGCATTATTTGCTATTATTTTATTGAGGATTTATTTTCATCTATTTTAAGTGAGATTGCCCTGTAATTTTTTTTTTTTTTTTTTAGACAGGGTCTTGCTCTGTTGCCCAGGCTGAAGTGCAGTGAAAATCATAACTCACTGTGACCTTGAACTCCTGGGCACAAGCAATTCTTCCACTGCAGCCTCCTGACTAGCCAGGATTACAGGAGTGCACCACCTCGCCCAGCTAATTTTTAAAGTTTTGGTAGGCATAGGGTCTTGCTATGTTTTCCAGGCTATATCCTATAATACTCTTTTCTTATACTGTTGTTGTTCAATCTTAGTACCAAGGTCACAGTATCCTCATAAGATGAGAAATGTTTCCTAGTCTATTCTCTGGAATAGTTCACATAAGATTGGGAATATCTGTTTCTTCAATATTTGTTAGAACTTGCATGTAAAACTATGCTTATTTTATTACTATTGTTATTTTATTATGTATATATTACTGTTGTCTTAAATATTCTGGGTCAGTTTTGATGTTATGTTTTGCTACAAAAGTATTGATTTTTGTTAAATCTTCAAATTATTGGTATAATGTTTATTGCATTCTCTTATTATTTTTAAGTATTTCTCATATCTGTAGTTTCATTCCTTTTCAATGTTGAATATTGTCTATGTATCTCCTTTCTTTTTTCTTAGTGACTTGGCAGAGTTGTCTATTTTATTAGTTTTTTTTCAGACACCCAATTTTAGGGTGTATTAATCCTATTGTATTTTTATTTTCTAGTTCATAAATTTATTTTATTGTATTTATTATTTAATTCCTTCTCCTTTATTTGTGTTTACTCTGTTTTTCCTTTTTTTGTTGCTTTGTTTTGTTGTTTTATGAGACAGGGTCCACTCTGTTGTCCAGGCTGGGATGTAGTGGCAGAGTCACGGCTCACTGCAGCCTTAGCTTCCTGGTCTCAAGTGATCCTCCTGCCTCAGCCGTCTGAGTAACTGGAACTACAGGCATGTGCCACCACACCTGGCTAATTTTTAAAATTTGCTGGAGAGGTAGGGTCTCACTATGTTGCCCAGGCTGGCCTCAAACTTCTGAGCTTAAGCAATCCTCCTGTCTAGCCTCTCAAAGTGCTCGGATTATAGGTATGAGCCACTGTGCCTGACTTGTTTCTCTTTTTTTAATTTCTTGAGTTGGATCTGGGTATCAATTAAGATAGCATATAGCTCCATGTTTAGAAAAAAACAACTGCTTGGCTTCATAAAATATCAAGAGGTGTAGAGTTAGAGAATCCAGAGTTAGGGCAGTGGCTCTCTGATCTGTGTGATGTACATTCATTTTTATCTTCTCACATCTCCACTATTAGTGCCTGGCTTTTGTTGCCTTAGTTCTGATACAGTAGCAAAATGGCTGCTCTTCTTCCAGCCTCCATCTGCTTTTCATACAGGAAGGAGAATATGGGAGAAGTAGGGAGGAGTGGTAGCTGTCTTAGGAAAGCAAAAACTTTCCATAGAAACCCTTGCTGTGTGTTTCATTGACTGTATCTGTATCACATGACCCCTTGAACTATAAGGAGCTGCAGAGAAGTTACTTTAGCTATGCACGTTGCTGCCCTGGACAGTGTCATGGTTCCATCGGTAAGGAAGAACCACGGTACTGAAGATTGGGCTGACAGCTACCAATGCCTATAGATCATAGATTTTGAGGCTTTCTTCTTCTCTTTTATAGGCATTTGAAACTGCACATTTTTCACTAACTACATTTCTAGCTTCCACAAACTTTGAAATACAGTATTTTTATTAGTATTTAAATTTAAACACTCAGATTTTTCATTCATTTGTTCATTTCATTTATTCATCTGTATAAGAAGGTTATTAAATTTTCAAACATGCTTTTTAGAATATTTTTATGTTGCTGATTTTTAAATTCAGTGCTTTATTGTTGGAGAACATAGTCCTTGTGAGACACATTATTTGGTAGCTTTTTTTGTTTCTGAGATGGAGTCTTGCTCTGTCACCCAGGCTGGAGTGCAGTGGTGCAATCTTGGCTCACTGCAACCTCTGCCTCCCAGGTTCAAGCAATTCTCCTGCCTCAGCCTCCCGACTAGCTGGAATTACAGGCGTGCACCACCACCATGACTAATTTTTGTATTTTTAGTAGAGACAGGGTTTCACCATTTTGGCCAGGCTGGTCTCAAATTCCTGACCTAGTGATACACACCCCTCGACCTCCCAAAGTGCTGGGATTACAGGCATAAGCCCCGTGCCTGGCCAGGAAATTTAAAACAATCTATATTTGTTAATTGTTGGATTTATATATATTTTCTACATGAAGGCTTTGGCCATATTGTCTGTTTTGGTCAGTGTTAATTCATCTGTATCAACATTCTTTGGGCTAGTATTTACCTGGTAAATCTTTCTCATTTCTACACTGACATTACTTCTGTGTTGTGTTATATATATATATAGCCTGTAAATTGTATATAGTTTTAAAAAATCAGATCTAATAGTCTCTTTTAATAGATATTTTATTCTGTTGGTATTGTGACTACTGATAAATTTGTATTTTCCTGACAACTTCTTTAAAAATTTTTCTTTATCTTATTTTTTTCTATACCTCTTTTTTCCTCCTTCCCTTCTTTCCATTGTGTTGATAACTTTTCTTCAGTTTCTTTTCTCTCCTCTACTAATAATTATTTTGTCTTTATTCTTTTAATGATTATCCTCAAATTTGAACATTCAACAGTTGACTAGAATTTGTAATTTCTACGAAACAAAACAAGAAATGTAGAACCTTTATCTCTAATCATGTCCTTCTTTTATATCATTATTATCAAGTATTTCAGTTGTTTTATCCTAATATTTTTGCAATTAACAATTCATAATGTTTTATGCAATTAATGCTTTTTAAGATTTGCTCACATTTACCAATTTCGGTTATTTCTTTTTTTTTTTTTTTGTGAGACAGAGTTTTGCTCTTGTTACCCACGCTGGAGTGCAATGGCGCAATCTTGGCTCACCACAACCTCTACCTCCTGGGTTCAGGCAATTCTCCTGCCTCAGCCTCCTAAGTAGCTGGGATTACAGGCACACGCCACCATGCCCAGCTAATTTTTTGTATTTTTAGTAGAGACGGGGTTTCACTATGTTGACCAGGATGGTCTTGATCTCTTGACCTTGTGATCCACCCGCCTCGGCCTCCCAAAGTACTAGGATTACAGGCGTGAGCCACCGCACCTGGCACATTTACCAATTTCTTTGCTCATCATTCTTTCCTATATCTCAGTACTTCTTTCTGAGTTTAATTTTTATTATTTCTAAAGATCTTTTGATCCTTTGCTCAGCAAGGATTATAGTGTACTTAGCAATAATATTGTACAACTTGATGTAAAATGCAATAACCTTACAACTGTTTACCACCCTCCATGTCTTTTATGCTATGAGTGTCATATGTATCTATTATACATACATTATAAACTCAGTGTTTGCTTTAAATAATGCTATAAATTTTAAGTTAATAAGAGGAAAAGTTGGTATTTTATATGTACTGAGATGTTTACCATTTCCTTTGCTCTTTATTTTTTCCGGAAGATCTAGCTTTCCAGCCCATATTATTTCTCTTTAGCCCAAAACACTTTCTTTAGCTATTCTCATACTGTAGGTATTTGTCACTAAATTCTGTTTTCTTTATTTAAAATGTTTTTACATTGAATATAGAATTCCGGGTTGACAAGTTGTGTTTTTTTCCCTCACTTTACAATTGCTCTGCAGGCGTTAATAGTGTCTAAGAAAATAACCATTATTAGTCATTCCAAATGTTATTCCCCTGTATGTCACTCTTTCTTTTCTGTCTGCTTTCAACATTTTCTTTTAATCTTTGGTTTTCGACAGCTTGATTATTATGTACCTAGGTGTGGTTTTAATGTATTTATCCAGCGTGGATAAATAAATCGAGCATCTACAAATCTACATGTCTTACCAGATTTGGGAGACTTGGAGCCGCTAAATGCATCTTCAAATATTTGTTTTACCCCACTTTTTCTGTCTTCTCCTTCTGCAATTCCAATTACTTGTATGTTAGACTTCTAACTATTAACTCAAAAGTCCCTAAAGTGTCCATTTTGTAAAATTTTAAAAATCTTTTTTATTTCTACTTTTTGACACATCTTCAAGTTCACATAGATTTTTGTGCTATCTTTGTTCTGTTAAGTTCTTTCAGTGAAGTTTTAACTTGGAATATTGTATTTTTCAACTCTACATTTTGTGTTCCTTATCAAAATTTTCAGCTTGTCTGTTGATACTTCCTTTTTTCATTTATTGCAGCGTATTTTCTTTATCATGCATAGTTATAATAACTGCTTCAAAATCTTTGGCAATTCTGACATTTTGGTAATATTGGAATTGGTTTTAATCATTATTTTCTTAAGACTGAATTACATTTTCCTGTTTTTTTTTTTTTTTGTATATCCAGTAATTTGGATTATATTGTAGACAGCGTGGATGTTATGCCCTGGGTTTTAATATATTCCCCTAAAGACTGTTGAGATTTTTTTTTTTTTTTAAGCACACAATTAACATGTTTGGATTCGAATAAAAAATTATATCTTTTTTTTTAGCAGTCCAACTCTTGGTTTTGTTCTGTTATTTCTAGCCAGGCTATTTGCAGTCTGCCCCATGTATGTATCTTTCAGGGATGAGCTAGAGATTTGTTCAGAGTTAGTTTTTGTTTTGTTTGCTTGTTTGTTTATGAGACAGGGTCTCCCTCTGTTGCCCAGCAGGGAGAGCAGTAGCACAATCATAGCTCACAGCAGCTCCAAACTCCTAGGCTCAAGTGATCCTTCTGCCTCAGCTTCCCAGGTAGCTGGGACTACAGGATATGCGTCACCATGCGGGGCTATTTTTTAAATTTTTTGTAGAGACAGGTCTCACTATATTGCTTAGGTTGGTCTTAAACTGCTGGCTTCAAGTGATCCTTCCTCCTTGGCTTCCCAAAGTGCTGAGATTACACACATAAGCCACTGTGCCCGGCTTGTTCCAAGTTTTTAACGGTGATTTTAGAGGTCCCCCTTTTGATTTTTTTTTCCTCTTCCAGGACCCCCACCCAAACACTGTCACTTAACCTCTCAAAGGTATTCTCACCTGTAAAATAAAATCTCCTATATATTTTGAGGACACTAAAATGAAATTCTTCCCAGGATGCCAGTACACCAGGCATCAAGTTCCAAATTAACTGTGGGTTAGAAACCATTTGCAGATTTTGCAAGGGGAATGTTTCACAGTAGATGAGTGACTCAGCTTTTGAATCAGATCAAGGGCAATAAAGGTCAGGAAGTGAAGAGAAAAAACCTGCTGAAGCGGCATCTTTAGAGAGAGCTATTGCCGTGGTTCTTATGGGAGAGGGACAGTGGAAGCATTCCTCCTCAACTCAAAGCTAGGAAGTCAGGCTTCAGTGGAGCTTGAATGTATTTGCTGCTATTAGAAAACCCAACAGACTGATGCTTGATTCATGCTTGAGGACACTAAATGGGGCTGTGATGAGAAGATAGAATGGCTTGTTTGGGATCAGTCCGCACTTCTAGAGTTACTGGGGTAAAATTGTTTCCTGTAAACCATATGTGGACCTGAGAGAGAGAAAAAAAAACCATTGTGGAGTCATTTTGGGTCCTGTCCAGTAGAGCGATCTGGAAGAACAAAGGACCTCCAACAGCAGGGAGAAGAAAAGGTGAACTTCAGATTCATAGAACCTGAGGAAGGAGTAGCAAGTGACTACTCAGAGTAGAGAAGCATCTGCTTAGGTCATGATAGATCTACAAAGGAGAGGGTCCCAGCAGTCAGAATCTCTAGAGAAGCTACATCAGTGCCCAAGGGAAGAAGAGGAGTTAGTTTTCTTGCCCTGTAGCACCATAGGGAAGCCACCCAGCAGGTGGGAACATCCCACCAGGTAGGAACGTCTTTGCTCTTCTATCCCTGGTGGCTTTTATACAAGCGCATATATATATCTCCTGGTGGAGATACAGCCACTCGGGTGCTGGGGAGGAGGTGAGAAGAGAGCGCTCAAGGGAAAATCACACTCTTTTTCATTACCCTCAGCTTGGAGTACAGGGAAAAGTCTTATGAATGAAGTTGGAAGCATTTTAACTTCATATACATACATATATGCTTGCTTGTTTGTTTTTGAGATGGAGTCTTGCTCTGTTATCCAGGCTGGAGTGCAGTGGTGCCATCTTGGCTCACTACAACATCCACCTCCTGGGTTCAAGCTCCCAAGTGGCTGGGATTACAGGGGCACACTGCCACGCCTGGCTAATTTTTTGTGTTTTTAGTGGAGGTGGGGTTTCACCATGTCGGCCAGGTTGGTCTCAGACTCCTGACTTCAGGTGATCTGCCTACCTTGGCCTCCCAAAGTGCTGGGATTACAGGTATGAGCCACCTTACCCAGTAGTTACATTCTAAATGCTACTCTGAGGCTGTATTTATAGTGATGGTAAGACTCTGTTCCCAAGAATGAATAGAAAAGTCATGGGATTTTCTAGTTTGCATTCAGAGGAGGGGAAGATTACCTACAGAATACATTTATTTTTAGATCTCTCTTTTTTCGTTCTTTTAATTTTTTGAAGAGACAGAGTCTCACTATATTGCCCAGGCTGGTTTCAAACTCCTGGGCTCAGCTGATTCACCCACATTACCCTCCCAAAGTGTTGAGATTACAGATGGGAGCCCTAGTGAATAAGTTTGAAATACATGGAAGTAGATAAAAACACATTGTGTTTTGATTATTACAAATGGTTCTTAGTCAACATACTGGTTATGGATTTAAATGCCTGTGCTAGCAGAGTCTCAGAGGATGATGATTCTTGCCTATCTTTTCTGATCTGAAGTCCACATCTTGAGAACTATACCTTTTGAGATATGATAGAAGGCCACATTAGCAGAGATATTTTCTTCTGTGTGAGAAGAAACTGCTAAGACACTCTTGTCTTTTACTCCATCAGTATTTCTTAGTTTGGCAAATTAATTGTCACTTTGAAAGCCTGGCCACATGGGATGGAATTACTGGAATTCTGCAGTGCATACAATCATCATAAACATCAGGACAGACCTCTGACCAGAAACCCAGCTTGTATGTCCAGAACCAGAGAATGCACTGGAATTTTTACACAGATATACTCTCTATAATAATGTATATTTTTCCATTTTTATTTTTTTAATTGTTTATATTTTTTTAACTTTTATTTTAGGTTCAGCGGTACATATGAAGGTTTGTTACATACATGAACTCACGTCGCAGGGGTTTGTTGTACAGATTATTTCATCACTGAGATGCTAACCCTAGTTCCCATTAGTTCTTTTCCCTGATCCTCCCCCTCCTCCCGCTCATCACCCCCAAGTAGGCGCCAGGTGTGTGTTCTTCCCATCCCAAATGATGAGTTCTCATTATTTCGCTCCCACTTACTAAGCGACAACATGCAGCATTTGGTTTTTGTTCCTGCATTAGTTTGCTAAGGATACTGTTTTCCATTTTTAGATGATGAAATCCCTCCAGGTGGATTTTGGGTTCTTCAAACAATTGATTCAGTTAAAGTTTGAGGATCGACTAAAAGAGGAATCTTTGAGTCTCTTCAACATTCTACATGATAGAATCCTAGAAGTTGAAAAACATTATCAACAGGTAAATATTCTCTTATTTTTTTTTTTTATGGTAGATTGATACTGTGCTTAGATGTGTATGCAGTGCAGTTTAGTAACTTATGAAGGTAGTTTAATTTGTATTAGTTGCACGTCACATGGTAAATAATACACAGAGCTTCACTATATGTCAGGGACTTGTGTAAGTACTTGGCGTATGAACTCAAGTAATTCTCACAGATACCTTATGAAGTAGGCATAATTATTTTCCCTCTTCTACAGATGAGAAAACTGAGGCACAGAAAGGCCAATTAACTTGTTCAAGGTCACCAGTTAAAAAACAGGAGAGGCCAAGCACACGTGCCTCTAATCCTACCACTTTGGAATGCCACAGTGGGAGGCTGGCTTGAAGCTGGTAGTTAAAGACCAACTTGGGCAACATAACCAGATGTTGTCTTTACAAAGAATAAAAACATGAGCCAGATGTGGTGTTGCAGGCCTGTCATCCCCAGCTACTTAGGAGCCTGAGACAGGGGAATCACTTGAGCCCAGGAGTTCAAGGTTTCAGTGAGCTGTGATCACATCACTGCACTCTAGCCTAGGTGACAAGGTGAGACCTCCATCTCAGAAAAACAGAAAACAAAACAAACAGACATTACTATTATTTCTGTGCCATAAAAGCAAACAAAAAAAACTATCTTTTGCTGGCCACACCATACTAAGTACCACGCTAAGCCTTTAAAATATATTTACTCTTTAAATCTCTCAACATGTTAAAATGGAAATCCTACTCTCCATGATTTACAGATAAAGAAACAGCTTACCAAGGTTAAGTAACTTACTTAAGGTCAGACAGATAGTAAAGGGCACAATGATATTTAAATTCAATCCTATCTAACTCTGAAGCCTATTTGAGGCTGGGAGGCGATGGCTCAGGCCTGTAATCCCAGCACTTTGGGAGGTTGAGGCAGGAGGATCAACTGAGCCCAGGAGCTCAAGATCAATCTGGGAAACACAGCAATACCCCATATATCTGCAAAATATATTTAAAGATAGATTTTTTTTTTAGAAAAGGATAAAGCCTATTTGTTGTTTATACTCCATGCTGAAATCAGAATTGATATCAGAATCACAGGTATTTTTTTTTAAATGCACTATCTTCTGTTGTTAATCTAAACAGATGTAATCAAATTATTTGATTAATCAGAAAATAACTCTAGTTTATAGATTGGCACTATAGATTTCTTTTCATGAGCATATCCCATTCAAAATGTACAAGGACTAGAAGAAGATAGGCATCACAAACAGATTTTACTACTTTTAAAAATATTCGAGGAAGGCATTAAAAGACTTAAGCGTAAAATGAAATGAAGTGTTCAAATTATCTGTATGTATTTTATCCATATGATCTCTTTATTGCTTTTTGTTGAGTATAAGTAAAAGTCATATGTGTCATAATAGCTGCAGGGTGGGAGAAATGATTATGAATTAAAGTTTTCAAGAGATTACGTGATTCAGATGATGTTTCTTTACCATGAGTCCCTCCCTGGTAGGTGTGGGTCATATTTGGAAATACATTATGGTGCTTATCGCATTTATTTTTATTTGCAGAATGAGGATAAGATGAGAAAATCTTTCAATCAGCAGTTAGCCGACGCCATCGCGGTTATCAAAGGAATGTACCAGGTGAGTTTTGGTTTTGGTGGCGTCGCTGTGGGCAAGGCTAGCTTCAGCTGTCGTGTGCAGAGCGGGGATCACCTTGGCTTCCCAGTCTTGTTTCTAGTTCTGAAGGCCTGTTTCCTCAATTCAGGTCACCTTAGAGGGATCAGGCCTAGGACTGTTTATGCTCACATTATAACGCTTTCCAGAAACTGGAAAATTCTAATCTGGTATTCAGGACACCTGGGCATGTACCAAAGTAATCCAAAATTTATTTGCTGGGCATAGCTGAATAGATGAAGGTCAGATGATCCTAAGAGAGATTAAGAGAAACTGTAGTAAATTCCAGTGAATGGTCTCTGGCCCTTGGTGGATTAACTTTTCTAAGGACAGGAACATTTCTGTCTTCCAAACACATACTTCATTCTCCTTCACAGTGGGAAAATTCCTACTTTTTGTTGCTTTTCTTAGACTCAGCAAAGATCTTGTGCTGCTTTTAGCATTTATAATCATATTCTCACCTTGCATTTCAATATACTTCCATAAATAAATTTTTTGCATACTTCTTTTTGGGCACTGTTTGCAAGCTTCTTTTCATAGCACACAACACATTTGTATTTAATTATGTAATTGCTTGCGATGTGTCTGTGTTCCATGCCAGACTGTCAACCTTAAGATGTTACTGTGTGTTACTCTCTGCTGTGGCCCTGCCTTTAGCACTGTGCCTGGTACATAATTAACAACCAGCTACTGATTGCTAAATGTATGAATGGTCACCTGTACCTGTGGTAGACAGTGGTGCTGCCTGCTCAAATGTCATTTTCCTCACTGCTTTTTACTCACAGGGACGCTTCCAACTATAGAAGCCAAAATGCTAGATTCTTCCTCTTCTGGCTGCCTTTTCAGCTATAGCACAGGCATAGGCAAAGTCAGGTCCCTAGCCAATGAGACTAAAGGTGAGCTGGCTGTGAGATTCTGGGGGAGGTTGTTCTTCCTAAGTAAAAGGGACTCATGAAGGTATCACCTCACACCAGTCAGAGTGATTATTATTAAAAAGTCAAAAAAATAACGGATGCTGGTGAGGTCGCAGAGTCAAGGGAACACTGGCTTATATTCTGCTGATGGGAATCTAAGTTAGTTCAGCCACTGTGGAAAGCAATCTAGAGATTTCTCAAAGAAGTTAAAACAGAACTACCATTTGACCAAGCAATTCCTTTGCTGGGTATATATCTGAAGAAAGATAAATCATTCTCCCATAAAGACACGTGCATGTGTATGTGCATTGCAGCACTGTTCACAATAGAGACATGAAATCAACCTAGATGACCATCAACGGTGGACTGGATTTAAAAAAAATGTGGTACATATACACCATGGAATATTATGCATATTACCATAATAAAGAATAAAATCATGTCCTTTGCAGCAACATGGATGGAGCTAGAGGCCACTATCTGAGCAAATTAATAAAGGAACAGAAAACCAAATACTGCATGTTCTTACTTCTAAGTGGGAGCTAAACATTGAGTACACGTGGACACAAAGAAGGGAACAAGAGACATGGGACCTCCTTGAGGCTGGAGAGTGTAAGGAGAGTGAGGATCAAAAAACTACTATCAAGTACTATGCTTATTACCTAGGTGACAAAATAATCTGTATACCAAACCCCTGTGACATGCAATTTGCCCATGTCACAAACCTGCACGTGTACCCCTGAACCTAAAAGTTGGAAAGGGGAGAAAAAGGGTCTTAGGGAAAACCTTTTCTTTTTCTTTGCTTGACATTTTATGTCTCCTTCTGGTGCTTGGAATTGCCGTGGACATTGAAACCGAAGACTGATATCCTCTGGATGTGCTGAGGTAGCAAGGTGGAAAGAGGAGAAGCAGGTTATGCTAGCTCCACAAAATGAATTGGGGAATGTTAGCTCCATTTTGTTTACTAGAAGCATTTGTGTAATCTTGGAAGTATTTCTTCCTTAAATATTTAGAACTGCCAGGGGAGCAAGCTTGGGCCTGGAGGGATTGATTAACTGATAGCAGTCATTTCTTGTTCTTAATTATTATGAGTAACCCTGGACTTGCCCTGCCTCTGGCCTGTTATTTATTAGATAACAACCCCTCAGTGTCTAAGCCACTGTTAGTTGGCTTTTCAGTTACTTGGAGCTGAAGATATCCCAGGACTGATTGCTCTGCTAACAATCTCTGTGACTCTATGCCAAACTGTGTTTCCAAGCGTACTGTGACACTGTCTTCTACTTACCTGCTCTTGTGCAATGTCACCTCACTTCTCTCCCATCAAGAGTGGAGTCTGATTCCCCTCCCTTGAATCAGGGCTGGCCTTAGTGACTTGCTGATAAGCACAGAATGTGGAGGAAGTGAAGTTGCTCTCAGTCAAGGTCAAAAGAAGTCACAGACTGGAGTGAGAACTTATGGTGCTTTTTTCAGGCCCACCCATGGCCTCCCATTGACCAATCAGCATACACTTCCATCCCTTTGAAGCCCATGAAAACCCTAGACTCAGCCAGACTCTGGTAGAGGTCAGAATGACCTGCCTGCAGAGAGGAGCTACTCACTGTGCATCTCCTCTCAGCTGAGAGCTGAGCAGATGCCAGGATGACCTGCCTGCAGAAAGGAGCTACCCACTGGGGGTCTCCTCTCAGCTGAGAGCTGAGCAGATGCCAGATGACCTGCCTGCAGAAAGGAGCTACCCACTTCAAGTCTTCTGAGAGCTGTACTATTGTTCAATAAAGCACCTCTTTGCCTTGCTCACTCTCCAGTTGTCTGCATACCTCATTATTCCTGGATGTGGGACAAGAACTCGGGACCCGCCAAATGGTGGGACTGAAAAAGCTGTAACACAAACAGGACTGAAATGCACCTCTTGCTCAACCACGCTGTAGGCAACAAGAATAAAGAGAAGAGCTGTAGCCCTTTGAGGAGCCCAGACCCTAGGAGCTTCCTGAGCCATGGTTGTGGTACCCTCTTTGGGGCTCTGAGGTTCCTGGTGTCTCCAAGTTTCCAGGCACTACTGTGTTCCCCAATGCCAGCAGTGGAAGTCACCTGTGGTATACCTGGTCCAGGTGCAGCCTTGCAGGGAGCTGGCACCCTTGCCGGTGCCTAGAGCTGCCCACCCCACTGCAGCTGGCATGTAGTGGCCGGGCCCCATGCTCACTCATATACCCCTTGTTGCTCTGTGCCTGGCCTGCCCTTGGCACGTGTGGGATCCAGGCTGGTAGCATGAGCCAAGCACAGCCTTCCAGGCCAAACAGGTGGAATCAGCCCAGGAGGCCTGAGCAAAACTCAGGCAAAAGCACCACTGACCACAGAGGTTTCTGGCTGGCAAAGCAACACCCCAAGGATCCCATGATGGCATTGGTGGCACATGCTTGTAGTCCTAGCTATTGAGGAGGCTGAGATAGGAGGACTCTTTGAACCCAGGAGTCTGGGGTTAGCAGTGAGGGATGATCATGCTACTGTACTCCAGCCTGAGGGATGGCATGACCCTGTCTCTAAAAGGAAAAAAAGATGCATTTCATCTATCTTATCCACAATTCTTGTTTACAATGAGAGAATAAGTCAGAATTTTGTGGTTTTTAAAAACATGCTTTTGGATAGGCATGGTGGGTGGCTCATGCATGTAATCCTATCACTGTGGGAGGCAGAAGTGAGTAGATTGCTTGAGCTCAGGAGTTTGAGACCAGCCTGGGCAACGTGGTGAGACCCTGCCTCAAACTCAAAAAATACAAAATGATTAGCTGGGCATGGTGGCCTGCACCTATGGTCCCAGCTACTCGGGAGGCTGAGGTGGGAGGCTTGAGCCTGGGAAGTTAAGGCTGCAGTGAGCTGTGATCACACCACTGCACTCCAGCCTGGATGACAGAGTGAGACCCTGTCTCAAAATAAACAAACAAAAAATAAAACAAAATTTAAAAAACACATGCTTTCTAGTTCTTTGTGTCTTCCATAATTTCTGGGACATTGATCTATTTCTAATGTCTATCAAATGTTCAAAAAGAAAGCTGCATAATGAATATCACTCTTTGTCCATATGTCTTATATATCTAGGTATGGAAAGTCATGAAAGGATTAAATTCTTCATATTCATCAGTTTTTCAAAAATATGTGTTGGTTAAATGTGCTTAATTGTGGTTAGTTGACTTACGAAAAAATTCTTTATATGAAGTTAAAGCCATGGTTGGAACCCTTGCCCTGGCTTGTTGGCATCACTTGGATCCATGACCTCAGACAGCCCTCCTAATCCTGGCCACCCAGTTTGCTAAGGCTTAGTCACAAGGAGGAACAGAGGAAAGTTGAACTTATACCAAACTGCTGTATACACTTGGTAGCATGACAAATATAAATGACTCTCTGCTGCCCTCTGGAGATCAGTTAAGGACACAAGTACCTGTATTTTTTTTTTTTTTTTCAGCTGTGAACAAGTTTCTAAATCGATTTAACTTTTACTTCTAGTCAATCGAATACAGCAAAGGTGAAGAGTTGTATGTGATTATGTTACATGAAAGGGTAGCATCTGTCTTGCTAGAGTCTTTCTCTCTGTTGGCTTGGAGGGAGTGAGAGGCTATGTTGGGGAAACTCGTGGCAAAGAACTGAGTGTAGCCGTGACTGACAGCAAGAAACTGAAGCCTCTAGTCCTATAGCTGCAAAAAGTGGATTCTTCTACAACCTGTGTGAGTTTGGAAGCAGATCCTTTCACAGTTGTGCTTTGGATGAGATCACAGCCCTGAATGCCACCTTGATTGCAGCCTTGGGAGACCCTAAACAGAGAACCTACCTGAATTCCTGACCAACAGAAACTATGAGATAATAAGTGTGTGTGTGTGTGTGTGTGTGTGTGTGTGTGTGTGTGTGTTTTAATTTAATTTTCTTTTCTCTTTCATTAGAGACAGGGTCTCACTATGTTGCCCAGGCTGTTCTCAAACTCCTGACCTCAAGTGATCCTCCACCTCAGCCTCCCAGGGTGCTGGGATTATAGGTGTGAGCCACTATGCCTGGCCAAACATGTGTTTT